AAAGGTAGCGTTAGGAATTAGCCAGCCAATTTTTGAGAGGTGGAAGTCATCATTATTAAAAAGAAAATGTTTATATATCTTTCTGTACAGCTAAGAAATGACAGAACCAACTTCTTCTTTATCTCATTCCAAAAGCTTTTTTATGAAATTAAAAAAAAAAAAAAACTTTATTAGTATGGTTTTTCACCGATGTAATTACCAGGAGGATCATAGTTACATGTGATAAAAGTACCACCACTGTTACACGCGACTTTAGCACATCCCAATCTAACGGTGGTGTTCCAAACCACTTGTGTGTAATGTAGACACGTGCCATCTTTTGGATCATTACACGTGTTCCTATTGTTATCGTAGTACTTTTTCTCGTCGATCCACATTTCTGCAGCATCTTCAGCCGACATATCTCCACCACTCCACGCTATGTTCTCTCCAAATGGTCCATTCGAATGGACCATGGCACAGTCACTGATCCTCTTATTCGCATAGCTCGAGGCAAAAGCAGCGACCTCATCGCCCCAAACCAATGGGTCTACCCCAACCTCGTGTCGGGCTTCGTTATGGGCCTCTAAGAATATTTGTTTCCAATCTTCGGCTAAACAAGGAACAACAACCAAGCTATATGAAAAAGCAATTGCAAAGAGAAATAAAATGTTTTGGGATTTGAGTAGAGACATTGTTCGTTACAAGTTGATTACGTGATGGTGATGTTGAAGATTATTATGAGTTAATAAGAGTATTTATATTTTCAAAATTTGGAATAGTTAACAACTTTGGATTGTAACAGAAAACAAATTGCTGTTATTTGTTTACCAAAATTAAAAAGATGACCATAGTAACATACTTTCTATACCAAAGAGACAACTAGTCAACCGTTACATTGGATTCATTGGATTTTGCTATCTTTGGGGGTTTTAATGTTCATACACGTCTGTCTAGATAACGATTGAAAATTTTGAAATCTTCTACTAGTATTTTCTTATTTTGGAAAATAATCACAAATTGAGAAATGGCCATTGTGGAAAAATATAATAAATGGTGACATACTAATAATCACATATAAATTATATATGTCTATCATATACAAATGTATGAATCATGTGAAAAAAAAAAAAACAAAATAGGGAATGCTTGAAATAAAGCACCTTCCATATTTACAATTTTTATATAAAATGTTTTCCAAATTTGAATATAAGAGATACCTTCCGCCTCTACCAGTTCCTTTCTTCACTTCCGTTTCAAAAACAACAACGAGCCACCACCTCTTTTGTTTTATCCTTCCGGCGAAGAAATCAATGTTCCGGCGAATTTTCATCGTCCCCATTCTCCTCTTACTTCCCGTCGCTTCGTCGAGGTCCAACCATAGTAACGAAGTCGAGAATCTTCTCAAATTCAAATCCGCCTTTCGAGAAACAGAATCCGACGACTTCTTCGCCACCTGGACTCACCGGAACTCTGCTTGTGAATTCGCCGGAATCGTCTGTAACTCCGGCGGAAACGTCGTCGAAATCAAACTCGGAAGTCGGAAATTGACGAACTGCGGCGATCTTCCTTTCGATTCAATCTGCGATTTGAAGTTTCTGGAGAAGCTTGTTCTCGGAAACAACTCCTTACGTGGCCAGATTCGTAACGATCTCAGGAAATGCAATCGCCTGAGATACTTAGACCTCGGAATCAACAATTTCTCCGGCGAGTTTCCGGCGATTGATTCGTTGCGATTACTCGAGTTTTTGAGCTTAAACGCCTCTGGAATCTCCGGGAGATTCCCATGGAACTCTCTGAAAAAACTAAAGAGATTGAGTTTCTTAAGCCTCGGAGATAACCGGTTCGAACCGAATCCATTCCCAGGGGAGATTCTAAATCTCACTTCCTTGAATTGGGTTTATCTCAGTAACAGCAGCATCACTGGTAAGATTCCAGAGAGAATCAAAAACCTTGTTCTTCTACAAAACCTTGAGCTCTCTGATAATGAAATCTCCGGTGAGATTCCAAAGGGGATTTCTCAGCTCAGAAACCTTATCCAGCTTGAGATTTACAACAATTACTTGACCGGTAAGTTACCCATCGGGTTCGGGAATTTGACGAATCTGAGGAGCTTCGACGCATCGAATAACTCGTTAGAAGGTGATTTGTCAGAGCTTAGGTCTTTAAAGAACCTCGTTTCTCTTGGATTGTTCGAAAACCGACTATCCGGTGAGATACCAAAAGAGTTTGGAGATGATTTCAAGAGTTTAGCTGCTTTGTCTCTTTACAGAAACCAGCTCACAGGGAAGCTACCGGAAAGACTCGGATCTTGGACAGGTTTTAAACACATTGATGTGTCTGAGAACTTCTTGGAAGGTCAGATTCCGCCGGATATGTGTAAGAAAGGAGTAATGACGCATATTCTGATGTTACAGAACAGGTTCACGGGACAATTCCCAGAGAGCTATGCGAAATGTAAGACTTTGATTCGTATTCGCGTAAGCAACAACTCACTCTCTTGTGTGGTTCCTTCTAGTATTTGGAGTTTGCCTAATCTCCAGTTTCTTGATCTTGCTTTAAACAGTTTTGAAGGACCTTTCACTGGTGATATTGGTAATGCCAAGTCTCTTGGCTCTTTAGATTTGAGTAGCAATCGGTTTTCAGGTTCTCTACCGACTCAGATCGCTGGAGCTAACTCGCTAGTGTCGGTTAATATTCGTATGAATAAGTTTTCCGGGCAAGTTCCCGACTCTTTAGGCGAGCTCAAGGAGCTTTCAAATCTCTATCTTGACCAGAATAATCTGTCTGGTGCTATACCAGAGTCACTAGGCTTGTGTGCGTCTCTGGCTGATGTCAATCTAGCTGGAAATTCACTCTCCGGTAAAATCCCGGAAAGTTTAGGATCTTTACAGTTATTGAACTCTCTGAATCTGTCAGGAAACAAACTATCAGGAATGATTCCGGTTGGTTTATCGTCTCTTAAGCTAAGCTTACTTGACTTATCCAACAACGAATTGAACGGTTCTGTTCCTGAATCACTCGAAAGCGGAAGCTTTGAAGGAAATTTAGGGCTATGCAGCTCAGACATTGCATATCTTCATCCATGTCCGCATGGAATACCTCGAGGCCACGACACGACAACGAAACACTTGTCTAAGTTGGAGATCTGTTTCATCGTTGCTATGGTACTTGCTCTGTTTCTCTTATTCTGTTACGTGATCTTCAAGATAGAGCGAGATAGGTCAAACCGAATGGCTCAGAAGAAGAACAACTGGCAAGTGAGCTCTTTCCGAGTACTAAACTTGAACGAAATGGAAATCATCGATGAGATCAAGTCAGACAATCTCATAGGCAGAGGCGGTCACGGGAATGTGTACAGAGTAACCCTAAGAAACGGCGAAACACTAGCCGTTAAACACATCTGGAGCTCAGAGATTTGCAATGAAAGCTTTAGAAGCTCAACAAAAATGCTAAATGACAAAAAAATCAACAGCGAAAGTAGCCGAGAATTCGAGGCAGAAGTAGCGACACTAAGCAATATAAAACACATAAACGTTGTGAAGTTGTACTGCAGCATAACGAGTGAGGATAGTAAGTTGCTTGTCTATGCGTATATGCCTAATGGGAGCTTGTGGGAGCAGTTGCACGAGCGTCGTAGCGAGCAAGAAATTGGATGGCGTGTGAGACAAGCGATAGCTTTAGGAGCTGCGAAAGGGTTGGAGTATCTGCACCATGGGTTAGATCGGCCTGTGATTCATCGTGACGTCAAGTCCAGCAATATATTGCTTGATGAGGAATGGAGACCGAAGATTGCTGATTTTGGATTGGCTAAAATCATTCAGCCTGATTCGGTTCAACGAGATTTCTCGGCTCCTCTTGTTAAAGGAACTCTCGGTTACATTGCCCCCGGTAAGTACAATCTTCAAGTTTCTTTCTTTCTTTCTGTTAATTGACCAGTCCGGTTCGACCCCGCTCGTATCGAGCCCAATGCTGATCTAGTCTGGTTCTATTTTGGCACACAATTAACATTAGTTGCCTAGTTACAACCTTATCCAATTTTATCCTACCATTAGGTCAAACTTATCTTCAAGTTTCTTGCTTCTCAAGCTTTAAGTTTTTTGCATTTCAGTCTTCATCTAACTTATCAATCGAAAATCGTTTTCGTTATCGTCCACAGAGTATGCATACATGACGAAAGTGAACGAGAAGAGCGATGTTTACAGCTTCGGGGTGGTGTTAATGGAGTTGGTGACCGGTAAGAAGCCTGTTGAAGCAGAGTTTGGCGAGAACAGAGATATCGTCATGTGGGTTTGGAGCTGGAGCAAGAAGATGAACAGAGAGAGAATGATGGAATTAATCGATCCGATTGTAGAATATGAATACAAAGAGGATGCTCTTAAAGTATTGACCATTGCTTTGTTGTGTACAAACAAGTCTCCTCAGGTTAGACCGTATATGAAATCGGTGGTTTGTATGCTGGAGAAAACAGAGCCTTCCTGCAACAACAATGGAGAAGCAAGTTACGATGAGATTGATAGTGATGAGATTACTGAAGTTGTATAACTCATAGATTGGACCAACCCAAAGGGTGATTTTGAGCTTATGTCCAAGAATATCAAATTTTTCCTATAATTTTAAAATTATACAGAATGCATAAGAGTAGATCTATTTTCAGTAATCTCATACAAGATTTTGGAATCATCGAAACCTTTCTTTCCGCCCAAAATTTGGTAGATTTCACTATTTCATACCAAAAAAAGAAGCTTGAAAATTCAAGGTTACTCAAAATGTATTTATTTATTAAAACAAAAAGTTTGGTTAACAAAGACAGTTTGGCCGAGTGGTCTAAGGCGCCAGATTTAGGCTCTGGTCCGAAAGGGCGTGGGTTCAAATCCCACAGCTGTCAGATTCGTTTCTAATTTTTTTTTGGCTAAAATTTTACTGTAATTAGGTTATTTATTAATAATTTTCATTGTCCGCAAAAGGAAGTCTCGTTTATTTGCCTCATTTACGGTATATTCGTCTTTCTTTGGATATCAATTGCCTATTTAGCCCATACAAAATCGGATATATAGATCCAATTAATTAGTGTTTAGAAATAAATCAAAAGGAAGAATAAAGCTGAATTTTAGCC